AATAATGAAATGTAGGGTATAATAAAAGGTCAAAAATTGTCGCCTTCCAATATTTTGTTAAAGGGGCAGGTAGGGCCGGGAGGGATACATGCCATCGTTCTCGCGTGGTTAAAATAATATATGATAAATGGGCCCACAAAAAAAGAAAAAAAAACAATTTCAATTTAAAAACATTAATAAACAAGTTGTAAAACGAACATAATGTACAAATAATTACAATGCAATGGTGCGCGCTTTCATTTGATTACCGTTCGTTTTCCGCATCTAGATGAAAAATAATAGTAATTTATTTAAAACAACAAACGCGCGTACCTAATAACATTTTTGCATGGAACTATAAAAACGCGATAAGCGGTGGACTGCCTAAGTCGAACCCTGTTTAAATGGACACTACCGCATGTAGTAGACATTACATAATAATAAGTTGAGAGATTTTTGCAATGACAATGCGTGATTAGTTCATGTATAAAAAAAATAAAACAATTTAATTAAACCTGTGCAAATACCAACCTTCCCCCTCCTCCGGACAGATAAAACAAATATAGTATATATGCCTAAAGTCCGTATATAAACATTGCTATCGTATTGAAGTTCAACCACATAATAACACTAATAGCGAACACGTACAATCTTTGCCAACTGTTGAAAGAACCAATTTTAATTTTGTTTAACAATAAATGAAATATGAAATTTTAATCTATTTTCAGTAAAAAAAAATAAATAGTTAAAATACTAGGTGCCATTACAAACCGCTAATAGAAATATAATATTAATCTAAAAATAATAATATTACTAAAATTATAAATTAAGGGATTCGGTTGCCACGACTTTCTACAGCCAGATATTTGTTAATCTGCACGTGATGGCTAATGACTAAGACACAATAGTTGTTAAAAATGAATTTTACTATATGATTTGTTTTTTTTTACAATATATTTCAACATGAATGAATAATTTTCATAGTCGATCAGACTAAAACAATTGATACTTGGATACTGATTCGCCTACTATTAAGTGAACACAACAGCTAGACTAATACGATTACTCACTTAAGTAATGAATATTTTGAATGATAAAGAAAATATAAATTACCATGACTGCTTAATAGATATGACCATATAAAACAAATGTCAAAGGCTACAAAAAAAAAATTGGAAAGGCATTAGGTAAAATATATTTGTTAGTGTTGCATAATGTATGTGATTAAATGACTGAAAAGCTCCCACCGCTAATGTAGACCAATACATACATAATATACCCTTATCTGATTTCAAATTAAAACGAGAATTGGTAAAAAAATATTGGAGATATGTCATACAACTAATATTGACATAACTTTTGTAACGTAAATTAAGCGATTGATTTTTTGACAATACTCGTTGAAAATAATTCTGCGCGAATGTATATGTACATATACAAGCTTATCTCGCAGTAACAGACACATTATCGTTTTTTACAATAAAATCCATTGTACTGTGTAAACAATATAATTTACTTACCGTGTTTTATTTTATTGAAAATGTATACTTCAATTTTTATAAAATTATTTACAAATCAATTTTTTTTTGTTCATAATAATAAAAATAAACTTGTTTTAATATAACGAATAATGGGAAAGCTACAGAGATATTTGATATGTATATAATATAATAATATATATGTGTATATAAATTTAATACCGGCACTGAAAAATAACAATATAAAATAAATAAATAGCTTATTAAATTATTACTGCAAGATAAAACAAATAACAAAAAAAAAAACATAAAATTCCCTATTAAAGTACATTCGATGTCGGCATTTTTCTTCAAAACCGAACTAAAGACTCACAATATATTTTTTTTAAATATTTAATATATGCTTACCAAAATGTTATAAAAACTTTTAAAATGTAATTTAATATAAATAACGATAATGATATTTTCTAGTAAAGTTTGATGAAAACGTATTTTGCCATAATCCCAAGTTGTAGTTCCAGGACGAAAAGAAATCGAGGAGATTTGTTTTAAGCAATTTTAGTTAAGTTTTACCTTCTTCGCTTTCCTTTCCACATAATAATAATACATTAATTTTTGCTGAACCCAATGAGTGTTAAAATGAACAAAAGTGGAAATTCTGATAATTGGGACAAATACAGTTTATTAAGTATGTTACATTCATATCTCTAGACACCCACTCGTGAAGTTGACAGTGTCCACAATGACTATTTGCAGTCGATACATACAGCTCGAAACATTACTAATAGTATACAGCGATAACGAGAGTGAAGTGGAGCCGGTGGTTTTTATCAATATTTCTACTATTGTACATGATTTTGTAATAAAGCGTAACATTGAAATTTCACGTGTATTGTCGCCATGTATATCGCGTTATCGAACTTCTCCGCTATCGAAATGTGTCCAACTATGTCCTTATTAGATATTGTTGAATATATTATAGACAATTTGAAACTATAGTATACTATAACTCATGTCGCTTCTGCTCGATACATATCCTCTACGTTATTATTAGTATACCCATTTGGAATAATTAATGACAAAATATGACTGATCCAACTTTAATCACGCATAACGTAACGTGATTCATAACCCTTAAAAGTAACACTAATTTATTTATTTTTAATTATGCATTCACAACGGAAATTTAAAAAATGATAAAAGTTTTAGTAAATTGATTGATAACATATAACGACCCGCTTTTTACATGCAGCAAATAACTCATTATTGTTTTAAAATCCGTTATTAATTTGGTAGACAACGAGTAATCGGAAGAGGTGATCAAATTTAAAATACCTACAGGGGAAAATATGTACTAAGGTATGGGCGTACAGTTATGTTCATTAAAATGGATATGGCTTAATAAAACAAAATAGATATACTAACAAAATATTCCAATAACAAAAAACTTTAAATTAGCCGATTATAATGTAAATTAACAATCGCTCACTTCATATCAGTGAAAAAATGTTAAATATTTGTATGCGTACAGTAGCGTTAAAAACATATTTTTTAATCAACCGATTTATTCGTTGTGTTGTGAGTAAAAAATTAGAATATATCACTAAAGCACATTTTGATGATTACAGGTTAAAACAACGATTATTTACAAATCTTTAAGATTATTAAGTAAACGCATACATTAAATTATAAACAATGAGGATTAAAACTTTGCCAAACACTAACTAACTAGAATTAAACGTTTTTAATAATACATTTTAACTTCTGTAAAAACTACTTATGTTACAAACACGTAAGTTAACACTCCCGTTAACGTCTAAATGAATCTGCTTTAATAAACTGATTAATTTATCACATTATTGTTCAGTCCAGTATAAAACAAATTTACAAAATCATAAGACAATTTTATAATTTAACTACTTGGTTTTAATATATTATATTATACTTGATAATTTATCGAGAAATGGCTGTTATATTTTATTTAGTTTTACCAATAAAGTTAGGTGGATTCCCAAAATTGCCTGTTCTCGAGTAAAATCCTAATTACTTTGAATTGTAGTACACACAGTACATGTTAAGCCAAAGAAAATCGTAAAATACTTATGGAAATTACCGAAAGTCGCTTAAACAACCCTATTCTTAAAATATATTTTTAATGAGGTAATAATAATTGCTCTCCTTGTATAACGTACACGCAATGTAACAATATAAAATATTAGTTTCAAGTTCTTTAAAACCCTATTTAGCCTAGAACTATGTAAATGGAACAATAATAACAGTTAATAATGTTGTAAACAATGAATAGTTACTTTTTTAAGACATTTTTGTTTTAGACAATCACCAGCCTCCAAATATGATTTGTATGGAATCAAATTGTTATTCAAGTCGAATGTGTCGAACCTTTTTATGTTAATATTAGATATAGTAGTGATAAAATAGTGTACCGTTATCAGGTTGTTATTTTATACATAATGGAAAATATGTTATATACCTACTTATGTATTTTTTCTAAATTTGCTACTATAAGTAATTTTACTAAAGTACATCTTGTTTATTCATTGTGGTGAAGGGTATTTTTAAATATTTTTAATTATTGTTTTACTTACATTATTTAGGCTTCGAAATAACTGGAACCAATTGAAAATATAATTTATTTTAGCCAAGTACATAATTTTTATTTTAATATTATCAATTTCTAACTCGCCCAATATTTAATGTGACACATTTGTGTTCAATGTTTAATTTTAAGAATACATATTTAAGGCGCTAAAGCCGGTTTCTCGATTCGAGGAATCGCTATGCTACTTAGAAAATTGTTTGTACTTTTATAATTGGTTAATATATAATAGTGGTGTTTCATTAATCCAATATTTACCAAAACTATATAGTTTATTTACAGCCAATACCTAGTAAATTGTATTGTGTTTTTCTCTCGTGCACTTGAAACAAACAGTACAGACAAGATAGTTTTGCGAGGTCATTATTACAGCAGTTGAACATAATAAATGACAATTTATATTGTTACAAAAAAGTAGAGTCTAAAATCGACAGTACTAATTGATAATGATAGACATGAGTGATTTTTGAAGGAAAACATATATTAAAACACTAGACGTGGAACAACATTGAATTATTGACCATTATAGTCGGTATCTCTAGGGTGTATTTTTGGTCGTAATGCGTACAATTACAAAGAGACCAAAGTGATTATTAGTTTTTTTAAACCGTAATAATCCACAGATAAAGACAATTGATAATACAGACTCTATGACTGAATATTTTTAGAGATTGACCGATTTGTTTACTGCAGTTTTTTGAATAATCGTTTTGATCAAGTCATATCAACGGCCGATTCTGGTGACTTTTTGAAAACCAGAAAAAATGTCTAGTGATAAAAAAAATTATATAATATATTTATACAAAAATAGCACTTTAGTACTCGGAACGAAAATGCGACATTATTATAATCGTCGGTAACGTTTTTAACGACAACGAGTTATTATTATTATTCATAATATTATTCCAAAATTCGATTGTACTTACCAGTGTGCCGGATTGTTTGCGCGAGTATTGCGGGTAGTCTTTAAAACAAAAACAACAAAACAAAATAATATAATATAACGTATAAAGCGGCGTATTATCAATAACAAAGTGCTGTATTGTACACTAATAATATTATATATTATCGTTGTAGGTGCGGTTGTTATTTTATTAATAATAAACCGATCATCACAGGGAAAAAAAAACGCAAACAAAACAAATACCACGGGGGAAAAACGGTAAAAAAAAAAAAAAACACGACGACGACGACGACGAGATCAGTAAATTTTTACCGGCAAAATGGCGGCGGCCGACGTGCGAGGTGCGTACCAGACGGTCGGCGGACGTGGACTGCGGTTACGGCGATTACGGCCACGGTCGGCGTCTACGGATACCGCGGAGCAAGAAAAAGCGCGGTCGCGGTATGCGGACGGGCGACGTTCGACGGCAACGCGGCCTGTTGTCCACCGGCCATAACTACCTGATTTTTGGTTTAGCTGGTCACTTGGTAAATGGTACCTAATTATCGTAAACCAAACACGACCGCCGGTCGGCACCGTCGCTTATTATGGTTAAGTGAGCTGGGGCACTGAAGATATTTTTAATAATTATTCCAAACAAAAAGACCGCAGTGGGATCTATGGTAAACGCTATCGAGAAGACGCTACACTCCAGCTGTTGTTAGTCATGCGTTGGGTACGGAAGATTTTTCGCAAAATATCAATTTCGAACTTAAATACTAAAATGTACACTCATGAGAACACATCCAGTGTCAAACTTATAGAATATAATGTTTCTGAGGTATGTACACGATAAGGATTTTTTTTAGAAGGCTGAGGAAAACTTTATTGGGTGACGGGTAAGCCTGTAGCATAGGGAATCCCAAAATCCGGAACTCAACTTGAGCCACTTAAAAACCGTATACATTTAAAATATTAATACACTATGAAGCTGTGTACACCTAAGTAAAATTCCAATTTCGTATTCCGGATTTTCGAATTTTAACAAATCCAAAATGAAAAGCAATTTATCATTTCGGTATTGTGTTTTATTTTTAAACTTTCATCACTAACAGTTTACTTGAATAAATATTTATATTAAATTGATGAATTTGCGTTTTTTGTGAAAATCCGGATTTTCGATTCCCAATTATAGAAAACAGGCTTATGGTCTAATAAAATAACCGAAATTTAGGTCAAAATCATTCATTAATCACCGTACAGCCAAAAGCAATAATTATTAAAGTTGCTAAAACTATATTGCTATACATTTTGAGTTTTGTAGTTTTTTTTTGAGCTTTTAGGATTTTATTTTTACATTAATGGGCACCAACCCATTTTACTTTGACATATGTAGGTAAAATAACACTTTCTTTAACAAGAAGGGGCGTACAGAAGCTATAGTGTTGGTTGGTTGCGTGGCGAGAGGTGATGACGAATAAATCATTATTGCTTATTACGATGAAAAGTAGCTTAACTTTTAAATTATTTAAAGAATACTTATAAACGTGAGAATTAGGATAACAGAAAATTTAATTTAATTTTATCAAATATTTTACCGATTGATATCTTATAATATTTTTTTAAATAAATATTGTTTTATAGTTTTTATTTGCTCAAGATCTCCACTGTGTTTAATGACTCAAAATATGATTTAGCGGACCTATTGTGATGTAATAATATGCCTTTTGCCTTATGAGTTATAACATAATAAATCCGAGAGAAAGTAAAATTGGTACCTATAGGTTTGTTTTTAACAGTGTGTGGCCCTGAAAAGTCACCCGTGTTTAATTAGGCTGGAATTTTTGATAGTTTTCGCAAATTAGATTCAGAAAGTTATTTTAAAAATTCATACTAATATTTTGTTTATTGTGCAATCGTCATAAAATTGTATTTTGAACCACAATACAATAGACGGTACACTGTTTAGAATACGTTCAGATAACATTGTAATACTACAGTGTTGCGCCTTTTAAAAGTAAGTCTATTATAAATACTGGACATTTTAAAATTAACAATACTTGACTTGCTTTCTAATATATTTTTATAAAAACATGCCAAGAATTCGTATCCCAAAAAAATTCTCTTCGTAATCTGGAATTTAACTGGATCTCATACTTCTTAATAATAAAGTAAGCTGAATATCGTAATGAATTACTAAATATTTGGTTAGGTACCATTTTAGCTTAAAACGCCCATTTTCATTATTATTGGAAATTAATTATCGTAAGACATTATTTTATCAATATTGGTACAGACTTTTCTTTTGAAAATACTGAAATTCGTATACTCACTATGTATTATTATGATCCGCTAACTGCAAAAACTAGATAGGTCCGTAAAAATGTATATTTTTTTGAACTTATAGTTATTTTAATTAATATATTATCTCACTTGTATTTTAAAAGTGACAGAAGTAAAAATAAATTGTTTTTAAACTATCACTGTGTCAGAATTGGATATTACTTTTATACAAATCATATTTTTAAACTTCTGTGTACTTTTTGACTTGTCCCATACGTGCACTATGCAATCAAAATGTACTTGGACAGTTTTCTACAAATATTTTTCTCAAATATGTCTTAAAACGCTGAACGATTCGAGTAAGCATGTACGTGTATAAGCACTGAGTGTGAAATTATACCTTGTTGGCTGCTCGTTAAATGAATTACGGTGGACAAACAGAATTACAGAGACGCATATAAAGTGCCATCTGCAAACGCAAATTACATTTTCTACCGAAATTTAAATGAATTATTATTGTAGGATTTTCATAGAACAACGTGAATTTCAATTATTTTACCATCGGATCTCTTCAAGTTCGATTGATTCTATTATTGCATACATTACATTCCGTCCGAGAATGTCGTTCGTCATCCACAACCGCGTTATTGTCTAATTTTAAGAGAGAGATACCCTGCTGACTCTTTTTATTTTATTTTTTTAATTTAAAATAATATTTCTATGGGAGTGGATGCAATTATTTCTCATAAGATTATGATTTATCCTGGAAGTACTTTTGAACTCTGTTCTACATAGATCAGCTGTTTCTATGGACTTTTTAAATATTTATTACACATAGTACCCTTCTCAGAATTATTTATTATTTTATTATTCATTTTTTTTTCATTGAAAATTACACGCAATATAGTACAATAATATCATAGTATGAGAATAAGTATATTAACATTAATGTTTATTTAATTTCCATTCTTGGAAAAAAGCATGATACCAACTTGGTTTTGTATGTTTGTTAACTGATTGAAGTAAACGCTTTTATTGTACTGGTGATTTAATAATTATTTTTCATAAATGTGAAAATAACAATATCTTACATAAACTGATAATAGTCTTTCAAATAGGTAGGTTAAATACTATAATCAACATAAACATAGTTATCAATGGATATCTCCATAATCACCATCTAAGACTTGAATTAAACTACAATTTATACAGTTAGTATTGTATAGTACAGGTACTACCAAAAAGTACTATAGTAATATAAGCTTATTATTTATTATCTTTTGTAAATTAACAAATTTACAACTATAACTTTATTATACCTAGGTTGTGGATACATTATATCCAAGAAGATTACATTAATAGGTAGGAACTATTTTTGATTTGGTTATCCGACTAAATCGTTATTTAACTGATCATAGCTTCGCGATAGGATTTCTTGGCTAAAATTTCTATAGGCAACAAATTACTGTCAATAATTTAAAAATAATTATTTATTTATTACGACAAATAGGTCATAGCATATAATACTAATTCTCTAACCTACTTTCATGATTGACCCTTGTTTTTATTATCTTCGACAATAATATAGTTGTTAATTATTTAGGGCTTCGAAAATGGCACTGTTTGGCGCTTATTCAAATGTAATTTAATGTTTAATAAATGTTAGATTATAAATATGAATCTAATACGCTATCATTAGTTAATGAGTTGGTTAAAATGTCTGTACTTTCATTATATATACCTATAATTTATATTGGAGTAACTTTTATTTATATAATACGTTGTATGTTATTGATTCGTCGCCAAGTAAAATATTCTATACAAAAATAGTATAAAATTATTAGAAATTTTTATTTTTCACTAATTTTTTTAACAATTTAGAATGAATTATTGGATGTATGGTTGAAAGTCTACTTTCGTTTGATAATATTCTAATTTTGAAAACATTTGACTGTCAAAGCTGCCATCAAAACTCAAGAAGCTTATCATTTTTACCTTGAATTACTTCATAAATGAATGCCATTGAGGTTTGTTTATTTTTTCAAAAGTATTAACCAATTTATTTAAACTAATTTAAAAAATAAATAAAATCCACAATTTTCATACCTCAAGTACAAAAATTACTGAAAAATAAGAGAGTTAAATAAAATGTCACTTCTGAGTCGTTTTGCATAACTGTTAGAGGATTTTCAATTTTTGGGATTATTAAGTTTCTTAATACAATCTGGACTTAATAATAATTAGATATATAATTCATATATGTTTGTTAATTTATCTATTACACATACAATATTCATAATATTATGGTACAATTATTTTTAAGTTATAAGCTTGTTCAAAATATATTTCACTGTGAGGTAAACACAAAATTGTGTAATTGTTTAACATTTATTTATTCTCATTTCTTATGCACTAATATAGGTTCTTGTCCATATCTTGTCCATACCTTTTCTTGCATTGAATTTGTATAACATAATTTTTTTATACATTTAAAAAAAAAAATCATTTCAGCCCAATGGGCGGTCGGTCCGAGTCGTTTCTTTGATTCCTTATGGTCTGGTTAGTTGCTCGTCTTCACTATGTGTACTAGGTATTCAGTGAAGACGTTCTACAGAAAACATATTATACTAAAACAGGATTATACGCATCGAACATCAATGTCGGCTCACACAAATGTTTATAAATATTTAAATATTATTCTGACGTGTATAATATACATGATACATGTTAGTATATAACATATCATTGAGTATATATTAATAAATATATTATATGTTCAACGATTATACGTATTGCAGAAGCCCTCGAAAACACTATTGTTTTTATTGGTTTCTGAAATATTGCTTTTCCACGAATTCAACATAGGTAAACGTTTGTTGTGTATTCATTTCGATTGTTTTTTGTTTCTTATACCGAACATTGTATATACTGTCATCATTTTGAAGCCCAAGTACGTCACGTACAGCATAATATAGTCTCCATAGAAGTCGGTGGTGAGGTTCGAATGAAATCGTGTGTCTACTCTTCAATCAATTGTACTTGTACACATCAATCAACGTATTATTCACAGCGATTATAATTTTTTTTTTAATTTTAATTTTAAAACAAAATAATGACCTC